TTTTTTTTTTTTTTGAAAATGCTGATTGACGTTAAATTTCACCGAAGGATGAAGAGTACATTGATTTTGTCGAAACGTTTGCAATGTCCAGAAGGAAACTTCAGCGAAGCGATTTAAGCATGTCCGTCTGGCCGTCTGCTTATCTACGTAATTTCTGTTCTAAACATTCTCTGGTCGCGAAAATGAAGCTATCGCCTTTAAATTTGGGAGAAATATTGGAAGTTATTGCACGCAAGTTCGCATTGAAAATGGGCTAAATCGATCAAAGGATATGCCACAGCACCATGTTAACTGAGAACGCTTCTCAGAAGGGAATGAAAAATTGGTTATTTGCTCATTACTCATAAACTACTTCAGATAAAATTACAATCTTGGCGTTGCAAACGTCTCGACAAAATGAATATACCCCTCATCATAGATTTTTTAAGTATATATCACATTCGAAAATTAAACTTTCTAACAAACTCCGAATATTCCTTTATTCGGTTTAGAGAATAACATAGTTTATAATAAAAGTACATTGCACATAATACTATAGCAAATAATTGCGCAAAGCATTTATCCTTTTATTATAATTTAGCTAAAGATAAACTAAGTTTTCCAATATTTATCTTGGTTTAAGTTTTGCAAATTTTGTTATTATGTTTGATAGATAGACAAAAAGGTAAAGAGAGAGAGAAATAAAGGACAAAAATTTATTAAATAAAATTTCATTACTGAGGCAAAGTTCGTGTGACGTTATCCATCCACGTACACAGGTCAAACTTATAATTCATATAATGTGAGTAAATTTATGACTAAATCCCGTTGAAACTTATGTAAATTATATAAAAAGGACACGCTATATATTTCATATGCACGTACACACATGTGCACCAACACTCAAGCTGCTACGTAAGCACATATCCTTATGTAATATATATTTGATAAGTTTTAAAACCGCATAACATTTTAGAGCACACCATCGTCGTGCCGATACATTTCGTGTAAGGTATCGTGTACATCCTTGTAACCCTACACACATATATATATATACATATATATAAATATATACATTCATATGAGAGAGTTTATCTTATCTTATTATTTACTCTGGACGATTAATATTTATGAAAATTTTACTATAGAAGAAGAGCATAACTGAACACTTGTCTTCTATCTTCAATGTTATGAATAATATACTCACAAGTTCCCAGCAGGCAACGTAAGACTGATGCATTCCGAAGGTTGTTGCGCGGTGTCATCATCATCAGTCACAATAATATCATACACAGCTTAATAATAAAATGACGAGACGAAACAACTTGAAGGTGGCAGAGACAATAATGAACATGACACTAAGACGATAGAGACCGCGTATGTGTGCGTTTACACCTTTGAAGTGTATAAATTATTTTATAAATATTTGCAAGGATTAACAAAGAAATACTGCATGTAGTTATGGGTATGTATGTGTGTAACGCAGATGTGCTTCGTCCGTACTTGCTAATGTCACTTGCTTCTTAAACGGTAGTTGAAACAATGAAACAAGTGTTTCACATTGTATGCCACATATCACTTAATTTATAGACGTAAACGTGTGCACGCGTTATTCTCATCATGAACATTAAACTTTTTTCATACATACGGTATTTGATGAATTTTATGAATTTCTCCTCGAGCATAATCCATTTAAACGAGACCAGTAGTTTCTCTTAACAGAGCGTTTACAGCGTCCAGCTGTATAAAAAACAAGTTTTTCATCTCAACAATTGTAAAATTTTAAGAATCCTTACAATTCTGCTGAATATCGAATCCTAACAGGGATTAATGTTTAATTAAAGTGCTTTACTTGGGAGAAAAGTTCTCGCCTCCTTGTAGGAGTTTTTAATTTCTTATGTTTGTTGTTTTATAAATCGCTTAATCCAGCATGTAAGACTCGTGGCTATCAAGTCAGTGGTGGGGAGTTCAGGTCCCGCCGTGGTAGACCATACTTCATCATAGCTACACTGATCGCTCCCGCAAATGAATTCACAAATATTTTGGTGAAACAATGGGGAAGGCGACGATATAAAATATGTGCATAAATACCCAACTGCTCTTTTACATGGACTTTTTTTACTCGATTTTGAAATAGCACGGTTCACCAATGACAACAAACCCGCTTTTTTTACAAACATATACATACAGCAAAAAAATACAACCGAAAGAGTACGTTGATCAGAAGTCATTCGATTTTACCATATGCCGCATGTATTTTTTTACACGATTATTTTTACACGGATTTCTAAGGAACGAATCTATAACAGGAGTTGGGAATATTTATACTTTTTGCATTTTAAAGCTATAACAAACTGATAGTTCCCGTAAACTAAACATTGCCAAGTACATAAGAGTCGAGTTTACCAAGTCGGTGCTCCTGGGCTCAAGTCTCTGTGCGATAGTCCATACCTAGTAGCTATATTAAGCACTCAGTTGGTAAAGCAGTAACATTTGGGCACAATTCACCCACTCTTTTCCGACCTTGAAAGCATTACAAGTATAGAGGGACTGAGTGATTGGTCTGCTTTATACAAAGAACGCATATTTCAATTCATGTAATCTGTTTTTATACCGCTTCATGATCTATCGTGACTACTCCAATTTTCTACGAAACATTCTGTGAATTTTGCCAGAAATAAAATTAAGCTCTTGCCGGCCTTTTAAAAGATGGCATTGTTTACCTGTAAGTATTATTTGTTAAGAATGGAATTTAATTGCATTGTTCTTAAGCTTCAGACCTTTTCAAATGTAAATCTGAAAGCAACGACGTTATACGTATTTTTTGCTTTTAAAAATGATTAAATTCGTGCCCAATAAGAAGCATTCACTGCATCAGTTTTCGCATATAAAAAAAAAAAAACAACAAACAGCTAAATAGTGTTTCCTTGTGGAGGAAGAACATTTGAAATCTCTTTTTGAGGTGTTAGTCCATTTGAATCACAATCGCATATACATCCGGAATTTTCCCGGCTATTATCATCAAAGCGCATATGCGCGCTTTAGATTCTATTGCAATGTACACCTACCACACACATACGCGAAGTTAGTAAAATCAGACAATTTCAATGTTAAATATTTCTCCGTATCAAGCAAAAATATAACAAGTAAGAAAATTATATTTGGTCATGACCCAAATTTTTACAGCGAAAATCATTATTCTAAAAAAGACGAAAAAAAAGAAAGAAACTAAATTTTCATACTCTATAATATTGGGTGGGCACGGCCGTTTTTTTCTATTCTCAGCATAAAAGCGGAAATTTATATCTTGGTCCTGTTGTAGTTCATGAGTAACGAGCAGAAACCATGGAAACCATGGAAAACCATGGAATGTAAATTTTTGTCGCATAAGCGTGGGAGCTTTGTAGGCGTATTCTTTGGAAAGCTTAAATCTCAAATTCTTTCGCAAATTCCTAGTCGATATCTTCATTTTCCCTACCAAGAAAATGTTTATCATAGATACTACGCAGTTGGGCAGGTCAGACAGACGGAGGTTGTTAAAGCTTGTTATAAAGGTATTGAAAATAGAATTAAATTTCGGTAAATTGGGTAGGCGTAGTAAAGTTTTCCGTTTTTGTATAGGTACTTCTGCATCGCCCATAGAATATACACTCAAATTTTTATAGAGTTATCTGCTATAGTTTAGGAATAATAGGCAAAAAACCAATTTTTTATTCCTTTTGAAAAACAGCGGTTCTCTCAGATGCGATCAAGAACATTCAATCTTTCTGCCAAATACGAAATCGATGACTTCATTCGTAGGGCCGGACAGACATGCTCAAATCGGTTCAGAATTTGGCGCTATTACGAATATATATACTTTGTGACGTCTCTGACGCTTTCTACTGGGCGTTACCAACATGTTGCTGAAATTAATATACCCCTCACCTTTCGGTGAGGTGGAAATGCAATTGAAATAGTAGAGACGAAGTAGAGGAAGACCGCCTACAAAGCGTAGGAAAGGGGTATTATATTCATTTTGTTAAAATATTTGCAATTCTAAGAAGGAAGCTTCAGAGACTCTACGAACTATACATACGTATATTCTTCATCACATTCAAAAGCTGGACCGATTTTATTTCGTCTGTCTATCCGCCTGCCGCTCCGTCTTTTGTAAGCATTCTCCCGTCCATTCATTATTATAGCGCGGAGAAGTTTAGTTCCCCTTTTTTTTTTAGTCTTTTTCTAGGATAAGGATGCGGACGCGGCGGATATAAAAGATTCGGTCATAGCAAATAAAAAAAAATCGCTATAGGGGTTTTTCTATATAAATAAGTACTTAGCATATATAAAAATAAAAAGACTTTCACAATCTATATATCTGAAGACGTCTTGACACGGCGTTTGTTTATCCGATTTTAAAATATTCTGTTGTTGTTTGGGCATCCTATTCTCAATGTCACATTGATCAAATAGAGAAATTTTTCTTGTTTTTGCTTTATGTGACCTGCTTTGGGATCCCACTGTAGCTCTTCCGGCTCATGAAAACAATTTCAAGCTTATGACTTACCGTACGATTACCGTACATGCTTACAAAACATGAATGAATTAAATTGATCCATGATTCAAGTTTCTTCTTCGTGCCTATTAAACTTTGTCAATCTTAATGTTCGGAAACGATTCTGTTGATATATATATTGCCATAAGATTTTCTCATTGCTGCGCTAATTACTTGTTCGTTCGTTTTCTCTCTCATATAGACCGTAGAACGGTAGTTATTACGAATTTGATCAATGTAGTGATTAATACCTAGAATGTCGACTCTTGAATACTCTACACCACTTTGCTTAATAAAATATTTATATAACAATATATTAAGAAAAGGGCCTTATAGTTGAGGTGATCGAAAAAGTGGCCCCATCCGAATTATTTTTAACAGCGTTCGTCCTTGGTTCAAAATACGCCTATGTGAAATTTTATCAATCTATCTTGAAAGTTGCGACTTGTAGGTTGAATAAAAGAGGAAGAGACGGACATACGGATGGACGGATTGATGCACAAATTTACATCTATTCAGAAAGTGGCTCTGAAAGTAGCTCTGAAACGATCGCTAAAATAAAGAGTGGGTCCGCTTGAAGTCCTCCTGGCTGTTGCATACATCTGCACATTCGAATCATACTAACTTTATAAATTTGACAAAGTTAGACATCACTTACCATCTGTCCGGCGTACAAATCTGAGATAATTATGGTCGTATCCTCACTTCCGCTAATGACTAACGTGTTATTAACACCGGCTGCGACGCTCGTCACCGCGGACGTGTGCGACCTAATCAAATAGAATGAAAATTGAAAATAAATACAGCAAAGCACGCATCTTCACAAAAATATTTGATGCTCTTAACAGAAGCGTCAACGAAATAAATTAAACTAATGAAAATTGAGTGAAATAATAATTGTCGTGATATGAGTGCGAGACTTACTTGATGTGTGTTATCAATTGACGGGTTGTCACGTTCCAAACAATCACAGTACCATCCTCAGAAGCTGTCAACAAAATATCTGATTGCGACGCAACTAGTAAGCACGTGACTGCTGCTAAATGACCTATTGAAAAATCATTACGATAATGTTTACATTGCGTCGATTTTGTGGACATGAAGTTAAGTACATACATTCATACATGCATATGTATTCATGAGCGTGGAAATAAGTGCGAACGATTTACCTTTGAATATATGTTCTAATGAGTTACTCATTATATGCCAAAGTTGAACATCACCGGATTTAGTTGTCAGTATCAAGTGTTGCTTGCTGGGAGCAACGCAAATATCACGTATGGGTCCCGTGCCTGATACGGTCATGGTGCGTATTTGAGAAGGCAATGGGGCGGGTAACCAACCTGTCAACGGTACCAGCAAAGGCACTGTATAACCATCACACCAGGCTGTTGCCGAACGCACGGTTAGGCTCAACAAAGAATTATCGTTTTCATCATGTTCGCTAATGGGTCTCAGCCAAGCTATCAACTGCGAAAGGAATGAAAATAAAGGCGAAAAAAACAACACAGTAACGAAACACGGAAATAATGTAGTAAACAAGAAAAAAAAAAAAAACAAAAAGGAAAGTAAAAAACTTTGTAAAATGTGGGATAGCTCGTGACACGGAAGGTGCGACAGTATTGTTAAAATTTTAAGGTTGCGTTCAACTTACTTGAGCACCAAGTTGCATGGGGTCGCGTGTCAGCACATCACTCGACTTTCGTATGGTATAGTAAATGAGTTCGATATCACGATCCAGTAAATAGCAGCGCACATGTTCTATAAGACATCGCAGATAACTAATGGAAACTGTTTGTACCTGTCAAACGCGATACACGCAAATTAAAAAGACCATCTTAGGAAACTTTACAAGCACACAGAAAATTTCTTATAAATTTAAAATAATTGAGCAATTACATGAACAAATTTCACAATTGCAGCAGTTGTTGTCGTGACTTGCAACTAAGTAGATTTGTAACAACTTTTTGAAGAATAATTAAATCAACTTTTCATTAATTTCCAAGTGTACGCGAAACTAATTTATTGTGCTATGCATAGCGAAATAAAAAATATGATTTAAAAAAGTTTCTTTCATTTTCATAACTACTATCTCAATAACTTTGTAATAATTCTTAGAGACCTTACTACTGAGTATATTCTTCTCGGCTAACGCAAGTTTCTGAATCAGATATAAATGTAATCAAGTTGAAAGTGATTGTGGGACATGGCGCGACATTAAATACGTCATCCTAATCACAGTTATTCATATCACGGCTTTTCGAAATAAGCTTTTATATAGGAAGTAGAAGGAAAAGCGGCAACGTTTGTCCTTGGGTCGAAAGAGGCCTGTCTACCGAAATTTCACAAAACTAGCCCAAAAATTGCGACCTGTAGGTTGAACATAAGACAACAAGACTGCCAGAAGGACAGACGAGTTTACATCGACTCAACAAGTGATCCTGAATAGATCGGAATAAAAAAAAAGGATCAATCATAAGTCCTTTTACGTGTTACATACTTCGGCACAAACTTAATATACACTTGAACCACAAGTGGTGTAGGGTACAACAAGCATGAAAAAATGCCATTAAGAAGTAAAATCCTGTAAAATTCCTTTACAACATTTTACAAACGATTTTCTCTCTTGCTTTTATTAGTCGACCAGACTTCTTCTTAAAATCAATTTTGCATAGCGCACCGGGGGCTTCAATCGGGGAGACATTTTACTTCTAAAGTCAGAAGTTACGATTTGATATTTTCCACCTTGACATATTTTAGGGTAAATTGGTCTGCCGAACTCCCTTCTTAGTTGTGGAAATCGAAAATGTCGTTCAAAGTAAAGGGTGCAATTAATTTGTGAATACCGTGTAGATCTTCTTGCACTTCGAACAAAATGGACTTCATAATGAGGTGTAGAGCAACTTACTTCGATGACAAAGCGTAACTATGAGTTACTGATCTAACAAATTTAACCGTGGGCCGTAGCGTTATTTACTGCAGTGTTATTTTATCACCACAACTGTAATGTTGTGGGCAATCCTTACATTGACTCAGAGATCTATTTTAGCCGCTTTCATTACAGTACTTTACTCTACTTCATTTTTACTAATTACAAGTTGCTTAAATTTATAAGTACATGAAAAATATTTCTTTTAAAAATGAAATTAGGAAACGAAAATTATTTAGAAGATTTGTACTGTCCGCTCATCCAGTGTCGGTTATTGCTTCAAGAAATAATGATCCTTTGCCAATGATCCAGTCCCTTTCGTATTTAGGCGCCAGTGTGATTAACGAACATCAAGTCGCAAAGAATAGATCTTAGGTAAAACTTGGCGAGAAGAAATTGTTTCAAAGGCCTCCGAAGTCGAATAACGTTACCTGGGACGATTGTTTGATTTATACGCATGCCCTGGATTATCAGAAATCAGAAAACGTGGTTACCAAGCCTAGTAGATCAGTAACAAAAGTTCTTCGTATTCAAAGCGAATATAAAAAGGTCGTAGTAACTTCGTGGATTCGTGTAAAGGTCGATCTTAATTGACATGTAGTTAAAGGGCAGTTGTTAACTAAAAGTTTTCAAACGAATAAAAGTGAAACACGACATCGACCTTGAACATGCTCTCGCTTGAAAGCGTCATTTTGATTTCGCCTTAGATAAGGTTTTAATACTTGTTGGTTTTAAATACTTGTGTCTTCAAAGATAGATTGGAAGAAAAGTTAAAGAGAAAATTATACAAGGAAATCTGCAATAACATCATATGTTGGAAAAATTGAGGTCCAAACATTTTCGAGATGGCCTTGGCCATACAATTGCAACTCACAAATGGATCTTAAAGAAGTCTTCCTCCCCAAGCTGCAATTGTAGATATATTTTCGCTGTAAGGCACATTCTCTGTGACTGCCTTCATTTTTCCTTGGCTAGAAGTCTTGCATTTGGTGCGACTAGCGCTATGGACATTCTAAAAGCAGCTATAGAGTATCAATACTATTAGGCTCAATATCTAATGTATCTAATGTAGAGCCGATAGCCTTTGTTGCTAGTGATCAATGTCTTTTTCTTTTAGTCTAAGAATTTATTTAATTAGTCTAAACCTAAGCGAGTTATGCCATCATCTGAAATCATATTTACAAGGGTTTCAGTGTATTTAAAAGTGCGGTCAACAAAAGAGAAAAGAAGCTTAGAATCTTTAAAGAGTGAAATATTTTTTTGTATAAATTTAAGTGGCTTTTAGTTACATTAATAGAGAGACACATACCAAAATAAGCTTAAGCTTCATATTTCAGTTATTTCATGCTTTAGAAAAAACCACAAAAGTATTTTAAAATTGTATGGAGCTTTGGTAAGAGATAGTTTATTTACCATACACTTGAATTCAACCGAGAAACATGTTAAGCTTCTCGTTGATGCTCTTGCCTTACTAATGGATCAAAGCATTATAGTTTTGAGGAAGATTTGCTTTGTAACCCTAACGGCCCCCGAATGCTGTTTTGCGAGTTGAGTTCCTTAAAGCATTTCTTGTAAAAGCATTAATATAAGGCAAACTTCGATTTATGGCATCCCAACTTTCCTTTAGGGTGTCATAAGGTGCGGTCTTCCGTTTCTGCATTGCTTTTCTTAGAATATTCTAAGGTTGAAGATAAAATGTCGCACCTCAAATTAAACAAAAGTTTTTTTTTGCTTCATATTGTCTGTTTGTCATTTAACTTTCTAACTCCTCTATTGTTACCATTCGTATCATGTACACAAATGTATGGCACTTAGATAGGATTTCATTCCTTTCACACTGCAAATCAACAGTGTCCAACCTACGGAACGCGGACCAAAAAAGAAAGTTAACTAATAATAGTAATTGATTTACGAGACTATTGTGGATTAAAAAGTGGTGAGACTTTCCATTTAAATCCAAATGAGTTTTTTTTTTTCTTTTTTTTTTTTGGGTGATTAATAACTTAAGTGACATTTGAGTTAAATTTCATTCCACTTTTTCCTTTTAAAACAGAACATGTTGCGAATTTTAAAATCAGTAAAGGAGTTCAGCAAAGTTATTGTATCAATTTTCGAGAAGAAATGGATCATCGGCTTACCAAACATTGCAAAAAGCCTTTGGTAACAATGGGCGAGTCTAGGGTGATTAGTATATATAAGTTATGAAAAGCAAACAAATAAAGCTGCGATAAATGTTCTGGCTGTTCTCGGACATCTAACGATGAGCAATACGTCAATATAGTTTAAAAGTATGGATGGATGTCCTATTGACGATGAGAAAATCAAGTATTTGTGGCTCAAAAGTTTTCAATTAACAATTAGGAATGTCACGTTACGACGTCAAACAAACATACCATGACCGGATACAAACGATTGTTACGCTATTTACCCTTTCAACAAGACTCAAGGCGATGTATCTTCCCTCACTGCATTCGTTCCTCTACTGATTTTTTCACCAGAAATTCAATTCGCCTGATTTATGCTTATTTGAGTTTTGATCGCTTCAGAAATTCAAAGAAACGCTCGCTACATATGGTTTGATTTCGTTTGAGAAGATTTTCAGGTCTCAGGTTTTTTGAGATGAAGCTAAGCAAGGGGCAAAGATGCTGGTGCTGTCAAATAGACGAGCAGATAAGAGTCCCCACTATCAGTCAGAAGTCGTTGCTTGCGGGTTTAAATCTCTTAGTGCGGTGAAGCGTGCTGGCTCGTAGCTATAGCGAATGCTCAGCAGGTAAAACCATGACTTTTACCGACTGACGCTACTCTACCTACTTCTTTCTCTTTTGTCACTTCTTTCCGACCGTCATCTTCTTACACGTGCCGGTGGCATCGTTTAGCTGAATGGGTATTTAAGCAAAAAAAAAAGAGAAAAGTGCGCTCGCGCTATTTAGACGATTAAATCCTATTTTTGCTTTGACAGGAACGTAGCCCGCGAACCGTGGTTTTGACCATACCGTAAGTAAAGAGTATTTCTGCTTGAAAAAATAATACATTCTTTGAATGTACTCTTGTTATCCCAGCTATTCATTATCTAGTGTATGCAGAATGAATTCTGGGTGAATGTGTTTGCAATTGTTTGCATATTTATGTAAGTATGTGTGTATTTTTGTAAAACTGCAACTAATTGTTAAGACAATTTTCTATTAAAATATGTGCGGTAAATTTCTTTCGTACTTCTTGCATATTTATCCAACCATGTAATGTCCTCTTATACGTAGTGTATCCGCTGTAACACAACAAAGAAAAAGAAAATGAAGAATCTTTCATACACACAATAGACAATAATCTTTCTTGTTACAAAGCAAGCAATATTAAAGGTTATTTGTCGGTCTTTTAATAGAAATGCGGAGAAAGCGAGATATGCGATGTGCAGAGAAGCAAGAAGGGTTTGAGTTGGTGAGGATGAGTTTTCGAAGAATGCATGAGAAGGTAAGAGTTTATGTTAATTCTTGGGTAGCTTAACTCATAATATTGCAGTCATTGTTGTTTTTACATATATATATATAAATCGCTTGACAATTTGTTTCTCAAATGCCATTCTTCATTCCGTTTCTGTTGACAAGACGACATTTGGTGCTGCAATATTGTCTTAACAAAGTTGTTGACTTGCTGAATAATTGCATTCAGTATAATTTTCCCTTTTAATTTAATTTTCTTTTGTATGCTCTTGTTTTTATAGTAAGTAGTCTCGCACTTTGCAAATACTCCCAAAGTGAAGGGAGCAAAAATTAATGTTTACTATCATTAAATTTACCATAAAGAAGCGAAAAAAAAATACCCCAGCAAAGCAATGCTTCTTTAAATTTATTATAAGTATAACGTTTTAACAAAAT